GATTTTAGCATCAAAAGAGCAAGGCATGCATCTCAACATTTTATTAATTTTTTCATAGTTAGTTAGTTCTCTTCCTAAGGCATGCAAAAAAGTAACAATCTGAGTAAATCTTATATACATTTCAGAAATTGATTCAAAATGCATCATACAAAAAAATTCGTAATCATGCAAGAAAATATTCAAACGGGATTGCTTAACTTCATTGGTACATTCATATGTGATACATAATTTATCCCAAATTTCTTTACCAGTAGTGCAAGTAGAAACACGCATGTAATATTCCGATTTCAAAGCACATAAAAAATAATTCAAATATTTTACATTTAATTTTACTAAATCCCTATCATCGAGAGTCCATTCAGTAAAAGGAAGTGGCACAGTAACGCCATTCAATTTTCCAGTTAGAGGTGTATAACCATCCTTAACAAGCATCCACATGCGATAATCAATTGATTGTAAAAATATAGACATGCAAGTTTTCTAAAAATCAAAAGGGATATTATCAAATAAAGGTGATCGGGTAATAGAATATCCTTCCGCAGTATTACGATTTCTGTTGTTAGCCATGGATCAAAATTCTAAAAGTTTTCAAACTTAGTTTTTATGAATCTCGCTAGGATACCACTTGAAAGTTCGTTAGGGATGTTAAGCCCTTAAGAACTAGATCGAGGTTAACCAAGAGGGGGGTGAATTGGTATTTTAAAAATTTTCTTAAGCAAAACACAAATAAAAATCAAACCAATATCACCACAAAGAAATCAACGTGCAAAAAAATAAATGTGCAACGTAGTAAGAAAATAACATATAGAATTTATAGTGGTTCGGTTAACTCGACCTATGTCCACTCCCTAGAGGCGCCCTCCGGGTATTGCAGTACAAACGTGATTCTCCTTTTGCTCACACAGCAAGGCGGAGAAGCCTTACAAAAACTCCTTTCTGCCAACCCCAACAAGACCCAACTCATTTTTCTTCCTCCTGAAGAAGGCAGAGAATCTCGACCAATTACTGAAGAAGACCTCCCTTAAACCCCCAAGAACGAAGGACGAAGATTGGAGAAGACACCTTAGAACCTTGCTTAGAGCAACCTTTGTGAATCCCACTTACAAACTCCCCCCCTCTCTCTCTCTCCCTCTCCTCTTGGCTCTCTTAGGTCAAGACAGCAGTAAAAAATCTTACAAAGTGAAGAACAAGAGCTCTTAAATAGAGGAGCTTTGGAATAGCTCATTAATTGCAACTTGTCGACTTTATCGCCCATGACGATATAAATATCATCTTGTATGATCATTGCAATTTAAGCCTAATCAGCCGGGATGAACTGAAGAAATTTGTTCATATCATCCAAGGCAATGTAAGATTAATTCAAATCACAGATTATCTACCAGACAATCACTCTAAAGGGAGATCTGGACGATCCAAAATTAGCTTGATCGTCCGGGCCGATCGAACGATCATCCCGAATGATTAGTTCAAAACCGAGGAAAATCAACCAGAAAATCACTCTGAATAAGAGCTGGCCGATGTTAATCGTCTAGGAGCAACCAATGATTTTTGAACTGATCATCCCGGACGATCCTGCGATCGTCCAGGACGATGTGATCGTATTAATCAAACCTTAATTTTTTCCTTAATTACCATATTAATTTAGGCATAATTGTGTTAAATCGACCAGGTTGATGTAATGGCTCGGCCTGACCGATATCCAAAAATAAATCTTACCAAAATAGATATAGCGGCTTATTCTTTCTGATTTGAGCCTATCTTCCTGGCTAATATAATGATCATCCAGGACGATGTGCTTAATGACGGCCGTCTTAACCTGGATGCCCTAATTAGGGTTTTTGTTCTTAGTCGAATCATCCTGGCCAATATGGACATCGTCCAGACAAATGTACCCAAAACAGAAAACAACAAAAAAATCCTCAAATGTGTGTGTGTAAGATTACTTAGCATCAGGAACCACTTTTATAATGGACTCAAGAAAGAAAAAAAAAATACAGACTGACTCAAACTTAATCTACCCAATCTTGAGCTAGCTTGAGTTGCACTCGATCTTGCGGACCTGAAAAGTTAGTAGGCAGGGCAGTCGCATTCAATTATGAATGTTTTCTATCATCAAAAGTCTAATCCATAAACTCAGATTTACAACACAATCAAATTGAAAGAATTGACTTTAAATATACCTTTTCCCCTATAGCTAGGTTAGAGGTCGTTAGATTACTATTAGCCATTATTTTAGTTCAAAAAATTCAAGTTATATCAAATGGATGTTAAGAGTGTCTTCCTAAATGTGGTGATAAAGGAAGACGTATATATTAAGCAACCCTCAGGTTTTGAGAACTCTTAATTTTGTCAATCATGTTTTTAAATTAAAGAAAGCATTATATGGATTGAAGAAAATACCTAGAGCTTAGTATGAGAGGTTGAGTACATTACTCCTATAAAGAATATTTGTGAAGGGTATTGCATACACCATCCTATTCCTTAAGAAAGTAAGAGAATATATATACTCATTATTAAAATTTATGTTGTTGATGTATTTTTTATATCAATAAATAAGAATCTTTGTGATGAATCTTCAAAAATAATTAGAGAGGAAATTAAGATAAGCATGATGGGGAGCTTACCAATTTCCTTGGATTTAGTCTGAAGTAAAAGGATGATGAAACCTTTCTTAGCCAACAAAAAAATCAAATATATCCTTAAAAAATATAGAATGTATATTGTTAAGGCAATCAATACTCCCATGAGCTCTACCATTTAATTAAATAAGATCCAAATGGAAAATAAGTTGATCAGAAGAAATATAAATATATTATTATACAATTTTTTATTTAACTACTAGTAGACCTGATGTTATGTCTAGTTTATATCTTTGTACTATATTTCACGTTGGTCCCAAAGAATCCCATAAGAGTGCTATTAAGAGAATTATAAGATATCTTCTAGGAACCAAAAACATGTGAATCTTGTATCCTAGACATAGCTCATATTTTAGAATTATATGATATTCTAATTCAAACTTTGTAGGATATAAGATTGATAGAAAAGTACCTCTAGAACCTATTAATTCATAGAATCATCATTAGTCTCCTGGTCACGAGAAAATAAAATTTTGTAGCCCTATTTATCGCTAAAGCATAATACATAGCTGTAGGAAGATGTGTTGCTTATGTCCTATTTAAACAAAAAATCCTTAAACCTGGACTCCTTATCGGCACTATTGTAATCACGTGTGATAACACTTGTGTCTTCTGTATCTCAAAAAATCTAACCCAACACTCCCAGACTAAACACAGATATTAAACACCATTTCATTAGAGATCATGTAATATAAGGAGAATTAAAATTACATTATATGGCTACTGAAAATCAACTGGCATACATCTTTACAAAACCCCGTGCCTATAAAATTGTTAGTACCATGAGGACTAAACTAGGTGTCATTGACATTCATGCTTGAATTAGGATGAATTTGAAATTGAAAGCATAAATGTTTGTAAGCTTTTATGTAATTTATTTTGTGATTGTCATGTTTGTTATTTATGTTTGTGATCTATTTTGTGTGAATTTTTTTTTTTTTTTCATTTCATGAAGTTTTTCTTAATCATCTTGCACAAATTCAAAAATTGTTCACATTGTATTATACAATAACCTACATACAGTACGATCTTTATAAAATATCATATCACTGCTCACAGCACGTCCAATAACTATTATTGATTAATTATTGGTGATCGTACTGTATGAACACCCATTTAGTATTGTACGATACATGTATAACTCGTCATTAGATGAATTGAATTCAATCAGTACGATATTAACTATTGTATTATACTGTACGAACACCTGTTTATACTGTATGGTATGACTAGTCAATAATTGTCCAGGCTAATGTCTCGAGATAACCATCTTAACAATGATCGTCCAGTTTGATTATGATCATATTGTACGATAAGACCAATCTTTTTCACTAAATAGACTAGAATAATTAAATTCCCTTTATCGTACTATACGATAGCACATCGTACTATATGATATGCATGATTTCTATTTTAAGGGAGGAATCACAAGCATTCTCCCCACTCTAATCCTTCCTCTCAATCTTTCTCCCTTCCTATCTAAGTTCCTATTCTTTGCAATGGCCAATGGAAAGGGCTCATGGGCTCTCGTACGAAGCTCTTCTAAACGTCGTATTGATCCCCATTTCTCTAAAGCAGATGATAAAGAAGCATATCATTGTTATAAGGCTGCTATGATCACCTCTTCCAAAGTCATAAATTAGGAAGTCCTGAACTTCCAGATACTCAATCTATTTGCTTGCACCACCCTTCAATTCATTCTTAATCTCGCATTTCCATTCAACAATAAGCTTCTTTTTTGAATTTTTCGCTAGCCTTAAATCAACAGTGAGGTCACTATCTTTCAATTTTATGTCAATAGAAGGCCCGTAGAGATCACCTATCAAGACTATGACCAAATCCTGCACATTTCTAGCACCAGTGAAAAGGTTATTCTTTAGCTTTTCTCCCTGACTATAATTGGATCTCTGTCAACACCACTCTTAGGGAGTCTTTAATAAATTATCATATTCTTCATGTTAACACCTTAGTTCAAGATGCCTAAATCTTTCAACACATCCTTCGAAATTCAGCCATTCCAAAATCTGGTGATCGAATAAACATCACACATCTTCTATACCTCACTACCTACTTCATCATTACTGAAATTGATTTGAAAGCAACAAATCTAATTATTCGATACATTTAAAACCTTACCTTCATTAGAGACCCTAAAAAAAAGAGAGCCAAATCTTACATTAGGTCGTCTCATTGCCTTTGTTATGAAATCCAAATACAATCTTCAATTCCCCGCACCACCCAAACATATTCCAATCTTCTATCAAAAAGATCCTTCCATATCCTTCATAATGCTCATCGTTGAAATGTTCATTATGTGGACCCCGAGCCATAGGAGGCAGTGAGAAAGTACGAATATCTCGCTTTACTTAAGTATCATTTTTTTTTATAAAAGATAATATTGGATTGAATATTTACAACAGAGACATACAATAAAACATACATTTAGTACATGCTTAAATAAAAACTGCAGTTCGAACATTTGAGAAATTTTAAGAAGCAAATACATGCAATCCTGAAGCAGAATTTAAAGCTCATGATCTCTCGACATCAGATTTGGTTTTGGGCAGCTGCGTAGAGTTCTTTGATCTCCTCAACATCTTCATAACTGCCAAGAAAAATGGGAGACCGTTCGTGGATTTTCTTGGGAACCAGGTCGAGGGCCTATGCAAGGAAATAGAGAAATTAGTTTCTGAGGTCAATTGTAAAACTATCCTCCGATTTTAACTATGAATTGCTAAGCCAGCATATGAAAATTGATCATTTCCCAAAGATACTATGCATGATTTCCAAGGACAGGCCTAGAGCTGGTTTATAGTAACTGGCACTCCAAGTGTTCCTGTTGAGGTGTTTGAACAACAAATATTTTAACAAGTGGTAAATGACAGTTGGAAGAAGTAGCAGAACCTAGTGGCATAATGTGGCAAACCAAACAATTACATTCATGGGAGTTTAATATAAATTAGAAAGGGTTCCAGTACCAAGTAATTGCATTCTCAACTAATGGAAGAATGTTCCAGTAATTAGAGACATTTTAGGCTGAAGGATTCCAATAATCGAAATTTGCACAGGATGCTGCCATTTAGAGAATTTATTCATCAAGCATACCAGCAGCGTGGCTTGATATATTGTTGTGGCAAGTAGATTGAGTTTGACAATATTGACCATGTCCAGGCTCGCTCCCTAACTTCACCATTTTTCGATGCAAGATGACGTATACAAACAGTGACTCATACAGTCAAAAGTGAGGATTATGTGTACTTTTCAGTTCTCTTTTTGGGACTCTCAGCTGTTTCTTTTTGTAACCTGGATTATTCCTAGTTGTCGTTCAACTCTATTCTTTCGTAATAGTTTCGCTTTCTGTTTATTTTCTCAGTATAGTAGTTTTTGCGCTTAAGGGGTTAACCTTCTTGATGATGTCAAAAGTAGTGTGATGATTGATAATATGGATGCCTATGATTATTCACAAATCTATGCATACATACTTAGAGATAATGATGTATATTGATATATCCTTGTTTAGAATAGTACATTAATTCAGGGGAGCTATCCACATATTTTAAATAAATTATGGTTAACTTGATATATTCAGGAAATAATTCAATTTCATCCCAATCCATTTATTTGTCCAACATTAGCAGAGATCAGCAGCTACGATTTGATTTTTTTTTTCTGTTTTACCCATTTTACCCCTAGGGGTGGTCATGTGGCGTTGTAGCCCGAAGGGCATTTTAGTCATTGTTTCTTTTCTTTTCATGAGGCCTACTTATAGGCTAGTTCTCTTGTATTTTGGGATGCTGATTGATTAATAAAATTATGAGTTTTCTTTGTCTCCATCAATGTTGAGTGTTTGAGAGAAGAAGGAAGACCCAAGGTGTGGGCAATCGCAATACCTGTGAACCTTTGGAAGGGTCCAAGATTCGCAGCTCTACTTTTTGTTCCTCGCATCTCCTCCATCCGCTCCACTCTCTTCCCCCCACCCGCCGCCGGCTTGCCCCCATTCCCACCACCCTCATTTTCCCCTACCCGACCACCAACTCCAGACTCGTCGGCCTCCCTTAGTTGTTTCTTCCCCTCCACCCGGCCCAACTTCACCATCTTAACTCCACTCCCAATTCCATACCAAACTCCCCCCCAAGCTTGACCACCGGCCACATGCTTTCCCTCTCCTTGAATGATGAATTAAATCATCATTAATACTTGCCTAAAATAGCCTAAGTGATTTGGGAAATTAATCTCAACAATTTGAAATTCAAATTTTGAATTTCAAATAGTTTCCTAAATTACAAAGCCATATTAGACAAGTCTTGAATCTAACCCAATTTAATTTTAAATTGGGTTGGAAGGATTTATCTCATCCCAAACTCCACTTCCCCCCAAAACCCCTTCCTTCCTAATTTGGATTGTTTTCAATTTAGAAAGAAATTCGAATTCAAATTAATCAAGTTTGAATTTCAAATCATTCATATTTAATTACACATATTTGGAAACCGCCTTCATTCAATCAATTAATCAATCATAAAATTAATTAATTAATTACTCCATAACTCACATACATTGAACCTAGACACAATTTTCCCTCCTCTCTCTCTCTCTTGGCCGGCCACATGCCCCTCCTCTCCAATTAATTTTCCTTCCAAACCAAGGCCTAAATTAAAGGGAATTAACTCCAGCTCTCCTCCATTGCTGTCCACACAATTTCCCACCCTCCCTTTCATGCTCACGTGCACCTAGTAGGAGGAAACGGCTGAAATTCATCTCCCCAAGTGGCTGTCCAGATTTCTGGACAAAGTCAAGTTGCTTTCTTGAATTTCTAGACAAATCCTGCACGCCGTCCAATGATCTCCAGCCTTGCAACGTGCTGTCCAGACTTCCTTGGGTACTGTCCGGACGTCACGAGTTGCCGTTCAAGACTACTAGGACTCAAAACCTGCTGCTCAGACTTCCTTAGGGTGCTGTCCAGAGATTTTGGCTTGCTATTCAGGACATTCCAGGAAAGTATAGTGCCCCAATTGCTGTCCAAAACTCCCTAGTCATTCCAGATTGTTGTCCTAACTTTGGAGACTAAGGAGGTTGCTGGTCTGAAGCTTCCAACTACTGCCTAATGCTCGATATTGGTGAACTCTTTCCCTAGTCTCTTATCTTCATAGTTATCCTACTATGTGATTTAATTGATTCAGAAGAAGCTTGTTAATTACTCCGCGCTAAAGTCTAGTATATTAGAAAGTTGAGTGAGAGATATCTCTTAGTGACTAATCTCATTGTTAGTTTTGGGATTATCGTTGAAAATCAACCTCATACGCAATGTTAGATTAATTGAATGTTTTACGACCTTAACTCCTATGTATGTGATTTAGCCTAAGCTTGTTTTATCAACTTATTGCCTTCTCTTAGCGCTTAAATCAGCATAAGTTTTAATTAATAATGTTCTCGACATATTAAGCGTGTAAATTTCCTTAAGCAACTCATCTTCACATGTTTGTGCCATATCAAGTTGGTTATCATAATAAAGACGGAGTGTTAATCACATGAACCCCTAATTTGAGGTGCTCATTTTCATGATTTAAAATATATAACTGGTTTACTAATGTTTATATTAAGCATTTAACAACTGAGAATTGACAGGAATTTCGATAAAAGATCTTCACATGTTTGTGCCACATCAAGTTGGTTATCATAATAAAGACGGATTGTTAATCACATGAACCCCTAATTTGAGGTGCTCATTTTCATGATTTAAAATATATAACTGGTTTACTAATGTTTATATTAAGCATTTAACAACTGAGAATTGACAGGAATTTTGATAAAAGATTGGTACATTCTCAAGGAAATTTTAGTAAATCAACATAATTAAGGTTGAATTTGACTCAGGGCATGAACATAGTCTTACAATTATTTGTCTCAAGGCATGAACATATTATCACATTAATTTTATGTCATGATGGAATTGTTAGATTTAGTTATCTTGGTTCAAGTCTACTTGCAGTTCAAAACATGATAATAACCACTATATATATATATATATATATATATATATGTATATATATATATATTAAAAGATTCATGTTATGAATATTGGACAAATTTTATAATAGCTATCAACTACCTAATGAAATCCTCCACTGTTCTCACCCAGGACTTGAGACTTGGAAAAAGTAGTGCTGGACATTAGAAGAGAAGCATAAAAAAAAGTTAAGAGTTGCAATGATGAGGATGCTAAGGTGGATGAGTGGCTTTACACTTAGAGACAGAATAAAAAATGAGAATATACATGATATGATCGGAGTAGCTCCAAGATGGCTTGGTCACAAAAAACTTCGGCCTTCCAATGACACGTTTGAGAGAGTAGATGGTTTAAATCTAACCTATATTAAGAAAGATAGAGATAAAACTTTAAACCTACGCATAGTTAAAAACAACCCCTTAAACCAAAGCATAGCTCTTAGCCATGTAGTAGAAAACCTCAAGGCAAAACCTCATAATTTTGGCCTGTTTTATAAGCTCTAATTCACAATTCATCATCTCCATAAATCTTTCACAAGCCTCCCCCACACTACCTAAACTTTAATAAATTACCCCAACATTCGGCCTATCACACAATTCACAAACCCTAGCCCTCGTCCACCTTTAGCTCCATTAGGAAATAATCCCTCTCTACACCTCTAGGACTCCTCAAGAAATCCCGTGTAGCCTATCCTCAAGAAATAACCCCCACAAACCTTTGAAAACTTTTTCACCATCCCTTCCCATATAACATCAAAAGGGAGAGATCCATTTTCAAAATACTACAACCCTTTTTATCAGACAATCTACAGATGGCTGTGAAAGAAATTATGTTCAAAAGTAATAGTACTAATTAGTAAATAATGCATACTAAGTCAAGCTTGGAGAAATCCAAAAGGCCAACACTGAGAAGATAATTTTTTTCCAAAGCACTAATTTAAGATTTCAGATGAGAAGAGCATCAATTGGAACTTGTGATCCTATTTGTGATCTTAGTATCAGGAAAAATGAATTGATGCACAAGTTGATATAAATGTTAAATTTACATGAGAGAAAAGGGGAGAAAAAGCATGATTCTTATACCCTTATCTTTCCGGTGAAGGCCTGACCTCCTGCTTGCTCTATCAAGAATGACATTGGGAACACTTCATAGAGAACCCTGTTAAAGAAGAAGCATCTGAGATGTCTGCTTTGATAGTCTAAACGACAAATTAAGAGCACAAATTCAAGAGAGATCGCAATACACACCTTAATTTTCCATTGGGACTCTTCCTGTCCGCAGGGTACAAAAATATCCCACCATAAAGCAGAGTTCGATGGACATCAGCAACCATACTATGGGGCATTGAACAACAATCAATTCAATCAAAATGTGAATTAGTAATAAACGTTTAACTCCGACTATTTTAGTTAAAATAAATGTAAATTCTAAGAAAAGGAAAACAAACCCTCCCAACACAGAAATATTTTGAAAAACTGTCACTACCAAATTGTTATCTTTACTAGAAATATGAATTTGACAAGCAAAGTGTAAAACTCGTAAAATGTCATTTTAGACCTCGCACATTTTTCGATGCGTCGCACGAGTTTTAAGTGAATTTTTCGAAGTCGTTAGAATTCAACGAAATAAATTTTATAAAATAGTGCGCAAAATTCTGAGCAAATAGATTTATAGAACCCATATTAGATTTTAAGTATTTTGGGAGTTAAAATTCTGTAAATCTCTTTATGATGGTTTTGCTCTGGATGAGGGTTTTTAGGTAGTTAAGCATTTAATGAGATGATCCCACTCTAAATAGGGGACCAAAATGTTTCGGTCCCCATTCCTTCGTGCATTCCGAACCGAGCGGAGAAAGGAGAAGGGGGCGTCACGTAGGAGCGGCGACGGGAGGTCCTAGAGGCGGTTTCCGGCGACGGTTTGCGAGGGAAATTGAAGGAATTGCAAGAGTTTCATTTTCTTTTCATAGAGTTTTCACTAAGGGAAGAAATCTAGGGTTTTGTAGAAATGCAAGTTCTCTTTGAGATAGGGAAGGGTAGGGGGATGTTTCTAAACCCAAATATGAGTTGATTTCATGAAAAATGTGGATTTTAAAAATTAGGGTTTTTCCCTAATCATGAAAATTTTGAGCTTTTGGTTCTAAATGAATTTGGGAAGGTTTTTAGAGGCAAATTTAGGGCTTCTGCATAAAATAATAGTTTTTCTAAATCTTGATTTAAAATTTTCCAAAAATTAATTATATTCTAATTATATTTTAATTACTATTTGAGTGTAGGGAATGATGTTTGCATGCATAAAAATTTAAGATTATAACTAAATCCTAATTTAAAGAAAATAGGAATGTAATATGTCATGAAATGGTTAAGGGTTTTGTAAAGATGTCTGCTTGATTCAGTTCTGTCTTCAATCCATTCAGGTGGAGAGGAATCTATTTTTATTTGAATAGCTCTTATGGATAGTGGTAGCATATGCTTTAGAATTCTTTGAAGTTTTAGACTAAGGAAGTCTATTCTTCTATCAGTTGCAATCCATACAAAACTTAGAAAACTATAAGTCAGTAGAAGTTGAGGAGACATTTTGAGATCTCTGTAAACAAAATCCTCATATGCATCAAGTATAATATAGGCCTTGATAATATCATAATTAAATTTTGAGAGCATGTACATAGCATAGGGATGAGTTCTTTATTATCATAGATTAAGAATTTAGGAAGCTTATATAGGATTAGTCATATTTACACGATATGTATGTCTCTTTTAGATACTAAACACGTGGAGAGAAGGATTTGATCAGACAATCGAAAGTTTGTGCACAAATTGAGGTAGGTAAAATGTGGCTCTTTTAAATTTAGAAAAATAAAACTCTTTTCTTTCCATGATAGCATGTTCTTATATTGTTATGGGATTCTTAGTATTATTGCAATTGTATTTTTCTTCTACATCCTAACATGCTCCTAAATGTCATGCAACACGCTCTTATGATTAGCTTAATAATATGTACTTATGTAGAAAGATTTAGAGACACTTGACCATATGTCTACTATAATGCACATGTTTTACTTGTGTGATAGTTTACAATGCAAGTGTCTTTCTCATGTGGTAGTTTGTAATGCAATTGTATCCTTCTCATGTGATGATTAAAGAAAGTACATAGCTCATGTCTCTTTTCTCATGAAACCATGTAATCATGTAGCACCATCGAACAATAGACCATATGCATGAAGGATATGCCAAAGTTCTTTTTATGATTAAGTAAAGAATATATGGATGTGCATGTTGACACGGAAGTATCAATGGTAAATGAGCTCTTCTGGACAATGGTGATGGGGCTCTTTTGACCCAAATGGTAAAGGGATTCTTTTGAACCAAATAGTAAAGAAATGGTCAATTAATGTGTACCTGATCAGTACAAATAATATTTCCGAGACGGATGATTATAAATTATGTATTATATTATATGCATAAGAACCATCACATGAATCATGAAATTAAATCATGCAATGTATAAGGAAATTGGTTGCAAGCTTATCCAAGGAAAGAGACTTAATTGATGACTTAGAGTCATGCTAGCTAAATGTTATGACATGTTTATTGTTCCTACACTAAAAGCATTGGCATACATGTTACCTTTTTACCTTCTTTTTTGAAATTTAATTGAAAAGCATTTATCTACTGAGTTATGACTCACTCATGTTGTGGAAAATTTTCAGGAGATCCAGCAAATCATTAATGACGGACCAACCACCGCATACCTACCATCGTAGGGAGACGACGGGCGACAGGTTCCTTTTTGAGTTTTTGTTATTTTCGTATAAATGGAGTTCTTTAGCGGCTCTTTCATTATGTTGATAATGTTTTCTTTATGTTTGGAGACATGTTAATAAAGTTATATAAATGTTTTAATTCCTACTGTCCGACTTTCATTCTCATCTCGCCCTTTTGTGAGCTTATCGGGCCGGGTCGTGACAAAGAGTAGTATCAGAGCAAAAGGATTTAAGAATATTGATTAATATAAAAGATCCAATAGGATGATCGTATAGGTTAGAGTATGTGTAAGATGCATGTGCTATAGTTTGTTTAAATTATTTTGTTGCATTATGTCTCAGGATTGTGGAACCTGAAACTAATGCAACTGATGGAAATACTGGAGAGGTTATGAGGGATCTGCCAACAGTAGCGGAGCCTCAAAATAGTAGCATTAATGCTACTATATATTCTTTCACTGATGTTTAAAATTGCGTATTCGGGTATTGAGGCGTTTTTCATTCGTGAGGCGAGGCGTAAGCCTCAAAATCAAAAGATTGCGTAAATATAAAATGATAATTTTTTTATATACAAATGAGTGAATAATATAAAATATAAAAAAACATAAGATATGAAGTGAAATCAAGATATCTCAATAATAAGACAACATGAAATATAGTTCAACTCAAAATTCTATCTTTCCCAAATCCCATTATTTTTTTCATTAACGTATAATTCCAATTTCCAAAAATAAATAGCAATGACATATCACATAAGAACTCATAATTCATCAGCACTGTAATCACTAACTCACTAAGGGGTTCTTCATTTGAATCATCATTATGGTGAATTTCACTCTCCCCTTCCTCCTCTTCTATAAAGTCCAATGTCGGACATTTACTTCAAGATTTATGTAAGTTTTAATATATATAGCGTGAGGCGTAAGCCTCATGCCAATGAGGCGAGGCGGGCTTCAAGCTGAGGCGCAAGCCTCATAAAAAGAACTTGAGGCGTAAGCATCGAGGCGTTTTTTACTGGAATTGCGCAAAGGCGAGCCTCATATTGCGCAATTTTAAACCATGCTTTCACATAGATGATAGCAGCCATGACCCAAATGATAAAGAGTACTCAGACCTAGGCTGGAGGCAGTGGAAGCACTGTAATGGACAAAAACTTGAAATTATTCCAAGACATGAAGCATCCATCATTCATAGGAGGTGGACACACAGAGGCGGAAGACTGGTTAATGAGAATAGAGAAGATATTGGAAGGAATGTTATGCCCTCAAGATAGAAGGATTATCTTAGCTGCCTATGTCTTCAATGGGAAAGCATATAGATGGTGGAGAAGTCAATTACAAGAGACTTTTGGACGAAGACTTAGCAGCCAAGTGACCTGGGATAAGTTTGTCAGGGTATTTAGAGACTGGTATGTACCAATGTCTACTAGAGGACAAATACAAGACATATTCAATAGATTGGTATAGGGCGATAGAACCATTACACAGTATGAAGCTGAGTTCACAATGCTCTCTAGGTATGCCTCTCATTTAATCTCAAATGCTGAAGAAAAATGTCATTGCTTTCAAGTGGATTAAAAGATACCATTAGACAACCATTAATCCCTTTTGGCATTAAGGATTATGCTACATTGGTTGAGAGCGGAAGAAGAATTGAGAGTGATTTCCAGAGTACTTAGAGAAGAAGAGATTTTCATAAGAGAATGAATGAAGATAGATCAAAGTCTACCCAATCTTTTTAGTCTGGAAGACCCAATTAGAAGAAGCCCAAGCCCAACACTTCTGAGAGCAGCACTTCTATTATATGAAATAAGTGTGGGAGGGCTCATAAGATAGAGTGCCTTACTGGCACCAATACATATTTCTAGTATCATCAACTAGGGCACATGGCAAAATCTTGTCATATCTTGGAACAGAGGTCTACCCCATAGGCCAGAACAGGTAATGCTCCTAAGAGGACAGTTGGAAGGCCATGGATGGTGGAGTCTACAACATCAACTCCATCTCAAGGCCAAGCTCGTCAGCCTATTCAACCAAGAGTATATGGTCTATCCCAACGAGAAGCTAAAGACTCTCCTGATGTTATTACAGGTATGGGCTTAATTTAATGTCAATGATTTCCTTTATGATGTATGAGTAAGATAATCATTATGTTATATTATATGCATGGTATTTAAGAACAATCTTTGTGTGTAACAAGCTTGTTAAGGTGTTGTTTGATACAGCAGCATTGTATTCTTTCATTTCTGAGGAGTTTATTAAATCAGTTGACCTGTCTCCTTCAATTATGCTCAAACCCTTATCAGTTTTAATTCCCAATAGGAATCAGTTGGAAACCAACAATAAGTGTCATGTGGAATTGACTGTAGGTGATAAAAACTTAGAAACAGATCTTATATTTTTGCCATTATTGGAATTTGATATAATCCTAGGTATGGATTGGTTGTCTTGCCACTTTGGGACAAAAGACTGTAACAAAAAAGAACTTAAATTTTGTATGCCATGAGAGAAAGAATTTAAATTCATTGGGGAAAAAAGCATAACTTCCATGTTAGTCTCTTCCTTGGTGGCATAT